AGAAGACCATCTCTTATGGTGGATGCATGGCCCAAGTATACTTCCTCGCCTGGTCTGTATCTGGCGAGCTCCTGCTCTTCACAGCCATGGCTTATGACAGGTATGTGGCCATCTGCCACCCCCTGCACTACAGCACCATGATGAGCAAGAATATTTGTGTCCTTCTGGCAGTTGGGGTATGGAGCATCTGTGGCCTTAACACTACCATCAATACTGGACTTATGATTCGATTATCTTTCTGTGGCCCCAACACCATTAATCAATTTTTCTGTGAAATTCCTCCTGTGTTGCTTCTCTCTTGCACCTCCACATATGTGAACGATATCATGGCAGTCCTTGCTGATGTCTTCTTTTCAGTTCTGAATTTCCTGCTGACCATTGTGTCTTACTGCTTCATCATCTCCAGCATCATGAGAATCCGGACCAGAGAGGGCAAGAAGAGAGCATTCTCTACCTGCTCCTCCCACCTGATTGTGGTCACTATGTATTACTGCACTGTGTTTTATGCCTATATCAGTCCCATCTCTAACTATTCTCCTGAAAGTGCAAAGTTGGTAGCTGTGTTGTACACAGCAGTTAGTCCTACCTTAAACCCTCTCATATACACTCTGAGGAACAAGGATGTCAGAGAAGCCTTCAGAAAAGTGCTTCTATTTAGTAAGTGAAGGCTTAGAAATTTATAGTTTTCTGGATTGGCTTGATTTGGGCAAGTGTATTTTTGTACTAATGATGGAAAGCCTTAAGACTTTAATTGATTTTCTAATACTGCAAAGATTTTCTTGTATAATCTCAGGTTCTAGAGCATTAATGATAATATTCTTGAATCCATAGATGTGAAATTTATAGAACTCCTTAATTAATTTTGAGAGGAAATGTAGATGTAATGGGTCTGCAAGGGAATTTAGTAGTCTGGTAGGCCAGAATCTGATGATGGATGCTCTCTCTTCATTTGTTCTTTCAAAAATGGTAAAGTCTAAGAGAGAGAGGAGAGAAAGAGAGAGAGAGAGAGACATACACAGAGAGACAGAGACAGAAAGAGACAGAGAGACAGAGAGAGAGAGAGAGAGAGAGAGAGCTGTTGGTCTGGTCATGAAACCTGCATAGAACATATAAAAGAGCAGATTAAGGAAAAGTCATTTAATTAAATGTACTCAATCGCTAAAATGGTTCTGTAACCTCATTAATTATGGAATTGTCCAACAATATGAATCACAATTGATTAATATCCCTAATTAAATATAAGATAACCATTTCATATTAAGGTGGCTCCACAAATGAATGAAAAAAAATTTAGTATGTAACACCCACAGGACCAAAGCAAATCATCAAGCCCCCCCCCCCCTTTTGATGCAACCTTTAGGGACAGGAAACTGAAATACTGATCCAGCTCCTGATGTTTACAGTGTATGATTGCCATGTGGCCTTAGTGATTGATTTCAGTACAACTCCTGTAAAGACATGGAGAGAGAAGGAAATACAGACCACAAATTACCTCCCTGCCCCACTCTCTTCTAGTGATTCTAGAAATGCTTGGTTTAGCTGTGGAAAATAAATAAATGCTGGGGAGACATTTATAAGAACTACATATTATTTAAGCTTATATATTGGGAAGTATGATACTGATTCTGTAGGCAGCTGGGTGGCACAGTGGATAGATCTCTGGGTCTAGAATCAGGAAGACTCATCTTCCTAAATTAAAATTTGGCCTCAAACACTTAACTGTGTGATCCTGTGAAAGTCACTTACCCCTGTGTGTCTCAGTTTCCTCATCTGTAAAATGGGCTGGGAAGGAAATGACAAACCACTCTAGTATCTTTGCCAAGAAAATCCCACAAAGTCACAAAGAGTTGAATATGACTGGACAAGAACAAAAAAAAAACCAACTCAATACTGATTTTGCACATCATATAAAAGGGATATGGTTACTTTATTTTAAGCTTTATTGATTATAACAGTAAACTTTCTTCATACATCTTCAGTTTTCAGAGTCTGTAGCTCAAAATCCATCCTAATCTACTCATTACACAAAATAAAAGATCACATTTGGAATTAGCCAGTGAGAGAGTTTAATTGTCCCTTAGAGTTTTAACTTAGAACCATTGTCCCCAGGGTCCTTTGGAGCTGATATATGCATAGTGCTTGGATGAATTGACATCTTCTTAAAGGCTAGTTGAAACTTGTCTGTATCTGTATCATTAAAGAAAGGAGGCTTTTTGAAATTTTTATTCCTCAGATCAATAGCTTTTTTTAATTTACATTTATGATTGATTGAAAGTAGGAACCCATAAAGTTTAGATGAGAAGACTTATTCTGTGAGTATGTAAACATATGCGAGTATGCTAAGGCAAAATCTTTTTGTTTTGAATTGTCAGGATAACAGAGGATGCACAGTGACCATCTGAATTTTTTTCTCACTGTGTGCTTTGTTATAGGAAGTCTTGATGAATGCTTAGAAAATAATGTTAGTCACTGATGTATTCCCAATCATTCATCATCAAGCATTTCTCAAAGTTATGTTTCAGGGGAATGATCAAAGACAATGCTCCATTTGCAAATACTTGTTTCATTCCTCCATCGTGCATTTACAAGGCTTAGAGTTCTAGGGGGAGGCCATATGATCTCAGACTTCAAATAGCTGAAAGGCTATCATGTGGGAGAGAGATTAGACTAGCTTTTCATTCAGACCTAGGCATAAGGAGCTGTCCATGAAGCCAGGACTGACCATGTGATCAGGGCAAGTTCTTGACCTCTTAGTGTTCTAGGCAGCTCTCTCAAATTGAAGAGAAGGTGACGACTTGTATGCCTAGGGGGAGTTTCCTTAACTGGAAGTCCTCTAAATGAATGAATTTACA